GCCGTACAGCCCTGCCGCTCCCGTGGCCGTCTCGGGGCGCCTGGGGGTGCCTTGTGTACGAGCGGTGCCTGGTCGTACCTTGCCGGGTCTTCTGCGGGGAAAAGCTCCGCTTTCCCTAGCCCCTGTGGGCCTGCTGGCTCCTCCCGTGCGGGCCGCGGCAGCCTCTCCGGCGGCGTCGTGGACTGCCCGTAGTACTGAGTACACGTCTTCAGCGTAGCAGTGTTTCTTAAATGAGACTTCTTCTGGGTTACCTGTGCATGGTACAGCACTGTTTAATGACTGTTCTTAAACGTACTCTTAAACTTTGAATATCGATCTGCGGGCAACCCTTCACGAAGTGGAATCATCAACGTCTGTGCCTTCCGTTTGCCTCCATCACTTAAACTCAACTGTAAAAACAGAAGTTTTAAGTTGTTGACCTGATGTTTGCAAACTAGGTTTCATCGCTCTATTTTTACCATGCATCCAGAGTGAAATCCATAGATAAATAGTATGGGTTTGAGAAGAGCTCGTGAAGGTATGATGTAGGTACTTTGTGACAAGAAAATATGGAAGAATTATTTCTGGCAGTTGAAAATTCAAACTGAGGCTCTTTTAAAAGGTTTGGGTATTGACTGTCTTAAAATGGCTAAACTATTGTGTAGCTGCATCGATAATTATGGGACTACCTAGTTTTGGCATACAGGAGTTAGAACTCTCACTTTAACGTTATTCAAATAGATCTTTCTAAATAAATAATCTCAGTTCTCAGTGTAGCAAAAGTACTTATTTTGCCAGTACTTATTCTAGCATATGTGCTGTTGTAGTGGCGTAGATCCTCCATGTCGTGGGGTCTTACATTACATGTATCAGAACTGGAGAAACATTCCTGAGTGTGTGTGATTGTCAGTCAGTCGGTTATTTCAGTTGGCAGTGGAATACAGGCGATACACGTGCCTTCTGGTGTTCCAGTCCTGTGTTTAGCTTAATAAAACGGCAAAAAAATATCTTGGACTAAGAAAGTGTTTGCTATTCTCAATTTGGCACTCTGCGTAGCTCTTTGAACTTGTACGTTTGTTTCTTAGAGACCTTGGCAAAAACGTCCCCAAGTATACAGTCAGATTCTTGTCTAGTTAAGTGTTTGTGTGATACACTTTGTCTACATCTAGGATTATTATGTTCATTTCTGTCCATTCAGAAACTAGGCGTATTTTCCATCCTCACCTATTGTTAATTTGGTTAACTTCAGCTGTATGAATAATATAGTGTTAGTGGCTGAGTTACAGTGCTTAAGTTTAGTCACTCTTGCTGGTCTGGCTTTCCATCTGTGTGTAACTTCTCGAGCTGCTTTATTCCTTTCCCTTTATCCTGATGACTCCCTCAGGAGAAAGGCAGTCCCTCAGTGTCACTGAGCCGGGGCTGTTTCAATGCTTGTGATAATGTTACCTCTTCAGGAACACCTTTGAGCTGGACCAGCTTTAGGATTGGACCATCTTGGATGTGTTACTTGAGGTTTTTTTCCCAGAACGGTGTTGGCATGGCAGAACAGCTGATCCGAGTTCAAGAAGGGATGTGTCGCGTAACCACTCAGGTGCAATGAAGCTCTAGTTCAGATAATGATAGTGGTCCTTAAAATACTGCCAGCTGAAGATAGCTGTGTCCCCACCACACCCTGCTTTTCTTGTGGGTGAACCAAGAGCTGGCTAAACCAGCTTCTTACCCTTTGAAGATTCCTTTGTTCACAATTTTGAACTTAAGGTAGAGGAACGGCACAATGTAGGTATTTGTCTGTAATCTGTTACAGTTTCGGTTCAATCCAGGGTGTTGAATTCTTGTATGTGAATTTAAATATGCATTCCTTGGTTTGTCTCTAAGCCTACAAAGTCTATTGTGAGCAGTGGATGTGAAAAAAATGACTAATAGAGGCTAAAATCACTCTTTTGTGGTTTTGTTTGGTTGGGTTTTCTTCTTGTGGACTTGTGTGGAAGCATCCTTGTGGGACATACTTTCATTTTATATGCAGGGAAAATCTAAAATATGGGATTATAGGGTAAATAAGAAATGTACATGTGTTATTCTACTGTAATATTTTTAAATTAGTCCTTTCAGTCCTTAACGTTTTTGTAGGCATAGCAGACACTTCACTCTGTGTCCCCTAAATCTGAGACAAGTGATTAGCTATCCACAACTTCAGTGTATTGTCAGCTACCTGGAGAATGGCTTACTGCTGAAAGAACCTCTTGAGATCCAGTATGTGCTAGGAAGTTGACTTGCAGCACTCACTGGTCTTCTCTTCTGGATCTGTAACAGTTTGAGTCTGTTCTTAACTTTGCAGCAAAAAGTTAAAGGACAAGGGGAAGATGATCCAAAATACCTTTGGTAGTAACTTAAACCACATTCAGTCTGTGTGGTAGAAAATGCTGTCTATGGAGTGATTCCCAATACCCACTGCTGTACTCTTGAAAAGTCTTTTTTTTTTTGCTGTACATTCCATTTTCCTCCTACTTCATTGCCTACCTGTTTGTTCTGCGCAGTGCTCTTAAAGCTGTCCCCATCTGTGATTGTGCTTATTGGGACTGGGGCCTCTGTCTTCCTGTCAAGGAAGTTCCTATCCAAGTTTTTTGCTCATCCTCAGTGATCTGTACAGCTTTTGCTGTGAGAATATCTGTTGTTAACTCTGGGGGTTTTTTAATGAACTTTTCCAGTGTTTGACTTTTCCTTTTCCCTATTTTCCATCTGCTGCTCCGCACGAAGGGCTTTCTTCTAACTTGTCTCTTAAACAGTCACTTCTAGCACATCCTCCTGCTCTTCACTAATGTTTGCGTTGTGCACTCTTCATTGAATATCTGACTTGCTCTGAAGCGTAAATGTGGTCTTAGCCAATTTTGAATAGTTGCTACAAACTAGTAAATAGTTGCTATAAATGGGAAAAGCTTGTGGGTGTAATCTAAAGTGTGGGGAATGAGTAAAATGATGTAACATGGGCGATTATTCCTCTTAATGTCTTCATCTTTCTTTAGTTGCTACTGCTAATAATAGGTTTATACAATTTCTGGGTCTTCATATTTATTGTACAAGTTCGCATATTTTAACTTTTTATTTGTAGTTCTTACGTGCACATGGAGAGCCTCTTTTTGAGTAATAAATACTACAGACAGCAACATTCTGTGAGTACGACATCATCTTGGTGGTGGTAGCATCTGTTTATGCATAAACTTTTGTGAAGCATATTGCCCCAGAAGGCCAAGTTTTTTTGGTAGCTTGAAATTCAAAGTAAGCAAATTTCTTCACTGCTAGAGATCTTTCCAGCGCTGTTTCTGGGCAGAAAAATTTCTCGAATTCCAAACCCAGAAAAATTCCATTAAAATGTCTTCAAACTATCAACACATCTAACACCATTTTTGTTTGTTCTTGTGTTTTAAATGTTTTTACATGTGTTTGGATGTTTTTTTCCTGGTCTGTGAATGCTATATATAGTCTGACTCTACAAATTTTATCTTTATATTCTAATTCGGAAGTATAGTGGCATGCACTTATTTTCTGTCTAGTCTTGCATTTTATAGTGGTCCTCACATAAGCTTAAAACTTAACTGCAGGTATGTGTGTGTTTTTCTCCTGTTTATATGGCATGTGTGAAACTGCATTCATTTCAGCATGTGAGCAGAATGTCTGGTTTGGTCTGTTGAAGTACATAAAACTAAAAATGTCAATAAAAGAGAAATAATCTTCTACTTCTAGCTGATACTTTTTTAGAATACAATAATGCAGTCACATTAGTAAGTTGCAGGGACATGACTGATTACACCATGAAACGATCAGTAATCTGCACAAGAATTAAAGCATGTGTGTGAACATGGTAGCTAGGGATAGTGGGGGGTTTTATTCCTGGAAAGGCTTAAAAATAACCTTAGGTCAAAGTTATCTGAGCGATTGTTTGAATATCCTTGCTTTAGTGCTTCTAGCTCAGTCCGTTGGGGATTGAATCATTGATGTAATTTTTCTGACTCTTCTTGGATCTACAGGTCAGTACATTTCTATAGTTAGGTAATGTTAATTTGAGGAGGGTACTGAAATTCATACATTACCTATGAGGCTTAGCTGGTGGATACAAAATAATCTAATAGAATTGGCCTGAGGAATAGATTAAAGTTGATATGTCCAGAACTCCACAGGATGTACATCTAGAAGCCTACTGCATAAAAATAATGCAGTGTGGTGTGGAAGATCCTGATCTTGGGCACAGCTTACCGGTGTACTTTGTACCTTTTAACTGCTTTTCTCTAGTGTGGTACACCAGCCACAGCCGCAGGGTTACAGTCCTTCCGAATGTTCTCCCTTCTGCGTGTGGGAAGCTTCAACAACGTTGTAAGCAACCTTCCCGGTAGAAAGAAGCTTGGAGCTGACAGTGCAGGGACTGAACAAACCATCTGACCAGCAAGTACTCTCAGAATTTGTGAGATGATATAGGAAGGGGGAATTGGTATGGCTGAAGAATATCCAGGGTATGAAAAGGTGTGCACTTGTCTTCGCTTGCTGCATGCTTAAATATGGCTCTACGTGTCTTGTCTTAGACCTTCGTTTTTGTGTTTAATTAAAGGTTTAGACGGATTGTGACTTCTCAAACATAATTATAGTGACGGTAAGACATGCAGAGCTTCCAGTATGGCAGATAGTTTTGAATTATGCTAAAACTTGTGTCATTTGGGAGGGAGGCACATGTTACATTTCTTTTTATCAAAGTCAGCTGGTTATAATTTGAGCAAGCTACTAGTCAGTGCTTGGGTAGCAAATCTTCCAGTTGTCTGCTCTCTTGTCAGAGTTTTGAGGGCTTCCTGAGCTGTTTTCGTCTCCTGAAACAAGCTAAGAGTGCAAGAGTTGATGTCCTTAACATGACGTGTTTATTTAAGAAAGACTTCAAGAGTTAGCTGCTTGAAGTTTATCAAGAAACTGCGTAATCATGCCTCTTAGCACAGAAGTGCTGTTGGAATACTGTGTATTCACTTCAGTTGTTTCTCTGGTAGAACGTTGTTCATTACCAAGTTTCTTAAATGATTCTTGAAATTTCCTGAAATTTGAAGTCGTCTTGTTCTCTTATATCACTATTGTTTTCATCTTTCTGTCTTCCTCCCTGATGATGTAGTGGTGCCTTAGTTTCTTATCTGCTTTTTCTTTGCAGAATTACTTGGCGATGTACTGAAAGATCGGCCACAGGAGGCAGATGGAATTGACTCTGTAATCGTCGTGGATAACGTTCCCCAGGTTGGACCAGACCGACTTGAGAAACTGAAGAATGTCATCCATAAAATATTTTCCAAGTTTGGTAAAATCATCAATGAATTCTATCCAGAAGCAGATGGGAAGACAAAAGGGTAAGTCATGGTAACTCCTACTGGAAAGACGATTGAAACCCTGCTCTGACTTACCCTTGATTATTAGTGTCAATACTTCATGGCCAGTTTTTATGGTGACCTCATAGTCGTGCTCATCACTTTCTTCTACCTTAGCCTGTACAGTCCCGACATCTAGTCTCGGTGACAAGCAGAATTTCCCGAAGGAGCTGAGGAGCTTAATAACTGTGGAGGTGATTAATCATGGAAACAGTTTAGCTGAGTTTGGAAGAAAAATTTCTGTGCAGTACTAAATGATGGATTTTTTGTTAATTTTCTGCCATGGCTAATAGATAGGTTAAAGGTCCATTTTAGTCAAAAACTTAGTAGCAGTGGATGTGCCGTTTATTGCAAAATGGACTGTCCGTAGTCTGTCTCTGGTTGCCAGTGCTTATGCTCATATTGGTGACTCCAGCTTCCTTAAGTTCAGTGAGCCCTTCCCAGGACCCTTTTCCCCTTTGCCAACTTCTGATTCATGTTCTGTTCCTGGTTAATGCAGCATCTGAAATTGAGAAGAAAACAAACTGGAAATGATCGAGCCCAAGGGGAGAGGGCAAGGGAAGGAAAATTTTAGGGAGAGAAATCAGGCAAAAATCAATCTGATAAATATGAGGATTTGCTTGAGTCTTGTGACTGTGGTTGGAGTAGCCTATATTCCTGAGTTTGGGAGAAATCCATAGTTTAGATAACCACTTTGAAAAAGTGGGTTTCCTGGGGCGGAGGGAGTGTTGATTCTGTAAGATCAGTGTGAGAAGCATGAGAAAATTATTCTATGTCTGTGTGTTTATGCCTGTCTTTGAGGCAGTGTCTGACAGTCTGCAGGATACTGTTAATTTGAAGTCTGCTGGGCTACAAGTTAGGTTGTATTGGTGGCAAGAAGGAAGCTGAATTCTGCTCAGTGTAGTTGAAAAACAAGAGTGGTGCTTTCAGATGCCTATGACAGCAAGATTTACAATTTCTAAACATGAACTGTCATTCAGCTGGGAAGAGCTGCATACTTAACCTGCCTGTGACTAGCTCCCATTGTTCTGCTGTGTTGCATTGAACTTGCATTCATCGCTTAGTCTAGCCCGTTTACCGAAAGGATAACAGTTTAATTCGGGACAAGCCCATGCAGCTAAAAAGTGTTCATGTGCCTGTGGCCAAAATGGAGATTAACTGCTTTTGACCCTAATTGGTTAGGGACAAGACAAGAGGTTGTTTTTTAGGTGCTCTTCGTTAATCCACTCTGTTTCTTGTTTGTTTTTTTTGAGGGGGTTGGTTTCTTTTTTTTTTTTAACGATGAGCCTGTTATGTAGTCAACGATGACTTCCTGCTTTCATCTTCGTTCATTGTAGGTACATCTTTCTGGAGTACATGTCTCCATCTCATGCAGTGGATGCTGTGAAGAATGCAGATGGATACAAACTGGATAAACAGCACACTTTCAGAGTCAACCTTTTCACAGACTTTGATAAGTGAGTGCAGCTATTGTGTGTATCGAGATTTTGGGACTCTAATCAAGAGTGCCTGCACAGAGTGTAACCAATCAAATTGCTCTTTCAGGTACATGACAATCAGTGATGAATGGGAAATCCCCGAGAAACAGCCATTCAAGGATTTGGTAAGGATTTTTTTGGAAAAATGGAAAGAGTATTCAGCATAATATGAAATGATTACTTCATTGCTGGAGGGTCATGTGAAAATAGAAACGATGTGTTAATAGCGTTGTTATTTGCAGCAGTAGTGATCGCGTGCTCCTCTTCCTTCGTTCTCAGTGACAGGAGGAACTTGGTGGTTCTGCTTAGTAGTTCCACATAGGGTAAAACTTAACTTGTGCAAAATCATTATTTACTCTAACTTAAAAATAGAATTTTGAAAGCATTGTCTTATATTTTTGAATGTTTGAGTCTGTGTTTGTTACCACTAGTGTTGTAAAAAGTCTTGTGGAGGAAGGGATAGTTTTTAAAAAACACCAAAGTCCAAAAACCCCTGCAGTCATTTTAGGCACAAAGTGTTAAACTGCATCAAACCACCTCGAAGGTCCACCTTTTCCGGATCTGTTCTCTTAGCCTCCGGTAACCAGTAGTTTGAGTTATTTAATTTCAGTTGAGAAGCTTGTTTGTGATGGTAAGACTGGCAAGTTGCACACTCGGTGTAAGGCCAACTTCCACCCACCGGGTAGATACTAATTTGGGGAACTTGTCATCTTAGCCTTTAACTCACTAATAATCTTTTTGCTTCTGTGTTTCTTAGGGGAATCTGCGATACTGGTTGGAAGATCCTGATTGTAGGGATCAGTACAGTGTGATCTTTGAGTCAGGAGACCGGACCTCCATTTTTTGGAATGATATCAAGGAACCTGTTCAAATTGAGGACAGAGCAGTGAGTGTCCTGGAAGTGCTGTACATTGCAGATACACTGTCAGTCTCATTCATTTTATGCCATTTCAGGTTTTTCGTATTTTTTAAAAAAGATTTTTTTTTTTTCCTCATTGCTGAAATACTTTTTTCTTCGTTTTGAAGAGGAGTTGTGAAACTACATGCTTTAAAATTAGACTTAGCTGCTTAGGTAGAACAAATGCAAAGTTAACTTGTTTGTGGTGGTGTGTTATTTTTTTTTCAGCTGGTCTCTGATGCCTATTAGTTTCCTTCATCTTTATATTATAGGTGATTCAGAAAGACCTGAAAATGCAAAGTCAGAGTTTGAGGAGTACTATTCATTAGAGCTGAGTGTGTGCTTAAGTATGCTGCTTCTGATCACCTTGCGCTTTTTTGCTGACCGCAGAGATGCTAGAGAGGAATAGCTGGTTTGGTAATAGCGTATAAAAGGGAGAGTTAGTGTGCCTGTCTGCTGCAGGCACTTGACTTGCTGAGAACTGTTGGTACCCAGAAGCATTTTCTTTAATAACAGTTGTGCATTACAGTAGAAAGAAGTTGGCTCTGGGATGACGAGTAATTTTGCTCATTGCCACAGTCTGCGTTGGTGAAACCTAACTTGGCTGACGGGCAAGAGCTGATTGTTGTTAAGAAATTGGGAATACTTACCTTTACTTCTGAGCAGAGTGTTCTTCTCAGAGCTGAAAGACAACAAGGAAACCCAAGCCTGTTACGTGGGTTTAATTGTTACTATAGGCAGGTTCTCACTGTACCTGGAAAATGTTTTTGTGATCAGTAAATGGAAAAGGTCTCAACTGACAGTTTTCAACCCGAAGAATAAGTACTGTGTGTTATGTGCAGGAAATTGAACTCCACAACTAGTCCAGGGTATCACTAATTCGGAGATCTTCACTTAGTGACCAGATTTGCAAAATGTGATGCTACAACCACACAGTAATTCTTTCCCCTTTAGGAATCCAGCATGAAATTAAACCTTTGTGTATACTGTCTTTTTTTTTTTTAAATCCAGCGGTGGACAGAAACCTATGTACGTTGGTCCCCGAAAGGTACCTACTTGGCGACGTTCCACCAGCGGGGCATCGCGCTGTGGGGTGGAGAGAAGTTCAAGCAGATTCAAAGGTTTAGTCACCAGGGAGTGCAGCTTATTGACTTCTCGCCCTGTGAAAGGTATGGAGCATGATGTTGGTTTCGGCTAAGGGGTCGAGAGCATGAGGCACACACCTTCTGGCTGCTGTGCTTTCAGATCTTGTGTGGCTGAGGTCTTTGGTTCTCCTTTGGCTTTGGAAGTGCTGCTTTTCATGTATAAATCCTTCTTAGAATGAGTGAAACTTTGCCTGACTTCTCTTTGACTTCAGGAAAGATACTTAACATAATCTGGAATAATTGGTCTACAAAACTGAGCTGACAGGTTTCCTCAAAGTTGTTATCCCAAGAGAGAAGACTGTATTTTTTTCCTCTGCAGTTGGATGGGATGTTTGTTACGTTTGATTTCTAGTTCTCTGAAAAGTTTCAGTTGAGTTGCGTCCTCCAAATCTGTAGTATTGAAACAAATTCTTTAAGCTTTCTTTAGAGAAGGCTGAAATAATTTCAGGACTGAGATGTATCTTGTTTTGTTAGTTTTCAGGTAACATATTTGGAAGCAATTAGGTTTTGTGTTTTATTGTATTAAAGAGAGGTTATTTATCTTTAAGCGGAGAAGTCTGGCATACCTGTAGTTCAGGTTGGCTGAGGTCAATGGATTTATATCCAGTTTGAAACTAATGATGTTCTCGTGGCAAAACTATATAGTAAGTAGCAGTGTATTTGGTGAGTCCACCTCTCTTATAACATAAATTTGAGAAGACTTGCACTTAAATCTTTTTTTTGAGTCTCTTCAGCCAGAGGGATGCCAGGGAAATACTGTGTCTGGAAACTTTCTTCTCCACCACGCTGTTCTTATCGTTCCCTCATCTCAAAAAAAATCCCATTAGAGAAACTGCTCTTTAAAAGTGCATCATATTTAAATATTATTTGGGTGAAAGCCTGTTTGTACTGACATATTAGATAAAGTTTCAATAGTGAAATTGATTGTTTGTTTTGTAGGTATTTAGTGACCTTCAGCCCTTTGATGGACACGCAGGATGACCCTCAGGCTATTATCATCTGGGATATTCTGACTGGGCAAAAGAAGCGAGGATTCCACTGTGAAAACTCAGCTCACTGGCCTATTTTTAAGTAGGTTGAGAAACAGAATTAGTGTAGAGAGAGGTCCCAGACATCATGTAATAAAAAGGTGGTTCCTATCTAATACCCCTTTTTTTTTTTTTCTTATTTGCTTAGATGGAGTCATGATGGTAAATTCTTCGCTCGAATGACTTCAGATACCCTCAGTATCTATGAAACACCTGTAAGTTACTGCTTTTTTTGCATAACACTTACTGCATTACAATATCAGTCTTTCCCATGGTATCTGTTTGAAAGGTTACATTTTAATAATACAGTCTACAGAGCTGGGCTTAAAAGGGGAGAAATCCCTTTGGTCTTCTCTTGTTCTTTCCTGGGTGAAAAACTATCCAAGTCTGACAGTAAATTTCACAGTACGCTTCTAGAAGGAATAGACAGCTCAATATCCTACTTGTAAGAGTCAGTAGGATCAAGGTTATGTGACACCTCCCAGCTCTCTCTAGCAGGTGGGTGCCAAAGTACCCAACACACACTATAAATTGCAGCCTAATCTAGTCTGGTTTGCTTCTTCCTTATAATTCAGGCTGCTGTACTCATTGATTCTGTACAGCAATTTTTACTTTATAATTGTGGTGTATATGTATGTTCATAATAAAAAAGAGATGCAGGATCTCTGAAAACTGTACACAATTTCCTAGTTTGTGCTCTAATAATAACAGGAGAAGGTGCATGTGTAAATATAAAAATGTTACTAACTTGAAAATTCACATATTTCTCTTTTAGTCTATGGGTTTGTTGGACAAAAAAAGCTTGAAAATCACTGGGATAAGGTGAGTCTTTTCCTTTGTAAAGATAACTGCTGTTTTTAGTTGGAATCTTTATGTCTGAGGCTTTGTTACAGTTAGAGGAATATTTAGGCTGTTGACTAGAGCAAACGGCCTCGTATGCTGAAGTGGTCAAATTAGACAAACTGATGGAATGGAAAATTCTCCGTTTATTGATGTCCACAGTTGACAGCTTGTATCCTTTGAAATCCTCTTTGTGGTACTGCTTAATCCAGGGTCTAGCTCGGGAGTCCTGTTCCTTGTCTACAAAACCAAATTGGAATGCCATTTGTTAGGGAATATCTCCCTAACAAGATTGTCTGCTGGTTTAAAACAGTGTGCTGTATTCTGCCTGTTGGCAAGGAACAGGGTTGGGTTTGTGCAACAGACCCTGACTCCTGTGAGAGTTTTTGAGGTAACTCTCTGAAATGCACGAAGAAAATTAAGTGTACCCAGGTGCAAGAAGATTGTCTCCAGTGTAATTTAATAGGAGGGTTTGCACATTGGCTTAATCACCCTGTTTCTTAGATCTTTGGCGGTTACACTGGCTGTAGCCGTTACTGCTTAGTGAAATGTCCTGTTTTGATAACATTGGCCATGTGGCAAGTTTCAATAGCAGTTTAAAAATCTGTTTGGTATGATAGGTGCAAGGTTATTGTATTGTCCTCAGCTGCTTGTCTGTATCTGTATTATTGAGAGTTGATGTTTGTCTGCAGCATTCTGATACAATGACGAAAATCGTTTCTGCTTGTAGTACCTCTAACTGAAAATTAAAATGCCATGTTTTTAACTTTCTTCCTGTAGAGACTTCTCATGGTCTCCAGGTGGTAACATAATTGCTTTCTGGGTGCCTGAGGACAAAGACATCCCAGCGAGAGTGACTTTGATGCAGCTGCCTTCTAGACAAGAAATTCGTGTGCGGAACTTGTTCAATGTTGTAGATTGTAAACTGCACTGGCAGAAGAACGGGGATTACCTGTGTGTGAAGGTAGACAGGACTCCCAAAGGCACACAGGTATGTGGGTTCTGATTATATTCATAAACTTTGGTTCTCTCTCATGCTGACACCTCTTTGTTTTACAGTACTGCCTTTTAATATAGCCAGTGTAAATTATGTGATGTCAAAGCTATTTTTCATTTTTCCATTTGGATTTGAGGCATGTGGAGAGCGAAACGTACGTAACGTTTGTGTCCAAGGTTGACTTTAGAGGCGTCTGGGACTTGGGTGAGAGCTGCAGGCCTCACCTCTCTTCCTACTCCCTGATAAACAGTTGTTGAACAACCCGTAGGTCATGTGGCTCAATGTGCCATATGTCTGTCTGCCTTAATTAAATTCTATCATAGTCTGAAAAGAAACAAATGCTTCAGTTATTTATTTTTTTTTTCCAGAATAGAAAAATTTAGAATGTGTTGGGTAATGAGGTATACTGTATTTATCTGCTCTCATTAAAGACACAAATGTTGACTGTCATCCTGACAGGCTAATTGTGTAGTTGTCCTTCTATGCCTAGTGATAAAATTGTTTGCTCACCTGCTTCTGTGCTGGATAATGAGCTGACGTTGGCCTTTGCAGGGAGTAGTGACCAACTTTGAAATATTCCGAATGAGAGAGAAACAGGTGCCAGTGGATGTGGTGGAAATGAAAGGTAATGCCAAGTATTTCCTTATTTTTGAACTTTAACTTTGAGTAGGGACTTGTGTGTTTCTTAGAAATTCCTGTCAACATGTGACATGATTGGGAAATTAACTCTTTTGATAGGGGCTGTAGTATTCATGTTGCAGGGCATCTAATGTAAAAATGAGAAATCAAAACTTTTGTTGCTGTTCATGCTTGTGATGGACTCGAAAAATGATAGAGGTGAAAATCTGTTATTAATAAAGATGGTAGGGCTGATAATGTGAGTGTATTTGGAGCTATTGTTTGAAACACTCCCTGCATTTGCCTTATCAACCTGTGTTTTAAAAGATAGTCTGTACAGCAGAGTCTGACTGATGGGTTCCCTCTCTTCAGCATCTTGGTTTTCTTTTGTAACTGCTTGAAATCAAACCTTTTTTATTGGCTTGAGTAGAGTTTTGACCCATCTCTTGTTGTTACAGAAAGCATCATAGCCTTTGCTTGGGAACCAAATGGAAGCAAGTTTGCTGTGTTGCATGGAGAAACTCCACGAATTTCAGTTTCCTTTTACCATGTTAAAAACAATGGGAAAATAGAACTCATAAGTAAGTGACTGAAAAAACAAGTGAAAAGTGCGGATACTAAGCATTTTGCATGGCAATAGATGTCATAAACACACAATTGTGGCTGTTTGTGGTGGATAGTATGGCAATAGGTGCTATGCCTGACACGGTGTTCTAGAAATGTAGCTTTCTGGTGACAGCTAAGCTGTTCTCACTTCGAATCAGTCCAGAGTCTGGGAATAAAAGGCCTACAAGCCAGAATAATTTTGTGGCCTTGGGAAGTTCCTGTAAGGTGATAGCACAGACTTGGCTCACTGTAGATAAAATGTATTTCCAAGTGGATGTTGGGCTCCCCTGATCTCCCTCCCTTTCTTTAGCTAGCTTTGGATGTTCTGGTGCTACGGGGTTTTGTCTTTAGAAGTGTAGAGCTAAGGGCTGCTGTTAGGACTTGTTTGCAGAGCTCAGAAACATCTTGAGGAGTGGATGGAGTTGATAGCTTGTAAGCTGATTGATGGCATGGGATTGAGATCTTTTTCTCATTTTTATCTTGTTTCTTTCCAGAAACGTTTGACAAACAGCAGGCAAACACGATATTCTGGAGTCCTCAAGGGCAATTTGTAGTGTTGGCTGGCCTCAGAAGGTGAGTATTGCACAGGTTACTGAAAGCTACGTTCATTTTAAGGAGGAAAAAGGCTGGAGTATCTCATCAAGAAGTGTTTGGTATCTCAAGGAATGTTGCGTTGTTGTGTAATCTTGGTACAGCTTTGCAAAAGCAAAGGAAAAGCAGAGATGCACATTCATGATGTAACTTAGTCCTTTGTAACTTTTACTTGCTATTTTCCACATCAAATGAAGAATGCATTTTTCAACAGAAAAGTGGATATTTAGAAACACTCCTCGGCTGTTTAGGTTAAATGCTGATGCTCAGCTAATCCAGTTTGCATGGTGCATGTGCCTTCTCATGCGCAATACCTCTTGATGACAAAGCTGTTCTGTAAAAGAGTTAGTACCAAGAAAGTTTCACATTAGAGCAAGGGAAAATAATTTTTATTAACCAGATGAGTAGTATTTGCCTTTACATGCTTTCAGACAAGCACTGCTGTTCTGTTTTTCTTCTTTAATCTTGTCTTCACTACTTAAATATGTCTAAGCGTATGATTGTTAAGCTTTGGCTGTAACTCGCCTATAGTATGTTTTCACTGTTACTTTAAGAACAGAAATAAAATGGGTTAAGGGCCACTGAACATAGAAACAGAAGTGTCATTCTTGGATTCTTCTGGTTTTATTCATTGCATTGCTTTCTAGCCACGGAGACTGATACAAGCCTGTCTCTTGGTTGCTGTGAAAATTTATCTTTGTAGTGAGGAGTTGTAAAGATGCAGCTTGTGAAATGCTTTTTAAAAAAAAACCAGGCTGTACTAGAGTGTAAATCAATCTGTCTTGTTTTGTCTTTGCAGCATGAACGGTGCCTTAGCGTTTGTTGATACATCTGACTGCACCATGATGAACATTGCCGAACACTACACGGCTTCAGATGTGGAGTGGGATCCTACGGGCAGATACATTGTGACTTCTGTGTCTTGGTGGAGCCACAAGGTACTAATGCTTTCTTTTTTCTTCTTCTTTCTCTTCCAGAGGTGTTGGAAAGGGCTGTTGGTTAGGGAGAGAAAATGGACACCTGTCACTGGCTGTATGACCTAAAACCTGCACCATAGTTTTAGACATTAATTTCTGAACATCAGTATTTATTTGGGCTGTTAGCTTCGCTGGTTGTCCAAAATAAGTTCTGGAGGGGCAGTTCATGAGTCTAAACTGAGTGTCCTCTTTCTGAATTTTCATTATGTCTTTAGCAGTCTGAAACTTGATCTCCTTATGGTCCGCACAGAACAGCAGGATTTATTGTTGCTGTCACTACTCGTGCATGGTTCCAGCTGTTGCACTGTAATCCTTTCCTGTACAAGCATAGAATCTGAGACTTAAGAATATAATAGAAGGGCTGGCTTAGTTTCAAACTGTTGTGATCCTCCAGAAAGTAACTTCTTGCAAAGCTTCAGTGGAACAAAGATTTTGCTGAGGAATTTGACTTGTGCAAGGAAGGCACTAACAAAAAGAGCACCCTGGTTCTGTTGACTAATGATGTTTGAGTTTATAAAAAACACCCTTAAGACATGGAGTGAGGACTGGAGTGTTAAGTTATAGCTCCTCTTGACTGAGATGGTGCACTGCTCTTCCAGGTGGACAATGCATATTGGTTATGGACCTTCCAAGGCCGTCTACTTCAGAAGAACAATAAAGACAGGTTCTGTCAGCTTCTCTGGAGACCACGACCAGCTACCTTGCTCAGTGAGGATCAGATAAAGGTAGTGTATTCCAGACTCTTTCGGCTGACGTGAATTTGGTGTATAAGTGTACTTGGTTTGTTTCCTCTTCTTGAGGATGAAGCTTGAGCTGTTGCAGAGTTACACAACTGCCTTTCACCCTGAATTTGTGGGAAAAACATGTGGCCTTAGGGGACCTCACTTCCGGGAAGGACTGTAAATATTAACTGTTCTTTAAGCTCAGAATAGAAATGGTTACCAGCTGTTCTTACAGTTAGAGTACAGTGAAAGAGTATAAAGAATAATAAAAATGAATTTAGCTGTCCAGACTTCACTGACTGCATGTGTACAGAAGCATTTACATGATCTGTAAGCCAGGAAGAACAAACAAAACTATAGCAAAGGGAAATGGCCTAGAAGAGAGATGTTTTTAAAAAATCCATAGCCTGCTTAGGAGTTCTTACAGAGTACAATGGTTGTGATTGCTAGTCTGATGTCCTAGTTGAAATAAAATTCCCTGGTTTACAGCAAATCAAGAAGGACCTGAAGAAATACTCCAAGATATTTGAGCAGAAGGATCGCCTGAGCCAGTCCAAAGCTTCAAAGGCAAGACACTTTTGGAATACAATAATGTAGACAAAACTCTTGTAACCTGGTCTTAGTTACTTTGTCATGGTGTTAAGGTAAGGTCAGTTAAACTTCTTTTATAACAAACATCTGTGTTCATTTGAATCCAGATGGTTGGAGTTAATTCCAGTAGGTGGTTTAGACAGATGCTACTAAGCTGTCAGGTTAAACAGTAATGAATCTGGAGAGGCACTGGTGTTACCTCATTAAGCAAAGGTGGTAAAATTTTGGAGTTCTTAGTGAGCTGCTGCATGAGCGGGTCTTTAAATTAAGAAAAACTTTTTTTTAAAAAAAAAAAAACAAAACCCACAACCAAAAACCTCACCAAAGTGGCTTTTTGGTTATGTAAGAGAAAGATCTTCCTTCTTTTGTTTAAGTCAGTAGAAAATATGTTCGTGAGAAAGTGTGACTTGCTAACAAATGCATTGCATGTGGATTTGACTTCCTGAGGAGGTTTAATGACCTCTTCCTGCCTCCGCAGGAGCTAGTGGAAAGGAGACGTACAATGATGGAAGAGTTCAGAAAGTACCGCAAGATGGCACAAGAGTTGTACATGGAGCAGAGGAACGAGCGTTTGGAGCTTCGAGGAGGTAAGCCCCACGCTACTCATAAGGGCTTGCTGCCAGAGAACTGCTGCTTCTCACCAAGTAACTACCCTGTTCTGGGGATTCTTCCGCTGCTTTTCTCGTTCCATTTCCTGTCAAATCTAGTCCCTTGTTTTCTGAAGGTTGTTTATACTTTTTGTCCTGTATCATAACAGGATTTTTCTATTTTTATTTTAATGTGAGAAAGCTCAAATATTTCTGGCTGACAGAAATCTGGTATCTGTGTTTTACCTCACCTCTTCATGCTTCAAGGCAAGCATTAGCTTGACCTTGGGATAAGACTGTGAAGGGTTCTGGGTGTTGCATTTAACCAGAAAATCCGCAGAAGCCCTGTGGTGGGAGACAGTGATGCCTTGGCTGTCCCTTTATGGATTTAGCACGTACTTATTATGATTTAAAGCACCAAATACCTCTTCACTGCTGGTTTAAGGACTGTTTCTGCCAAGAGCATCGAATCTTTCCATTGCTGCCTTTTTTGATGCATTCGGTGTTAATGTTTTCTCTGTTCCAGGGGTAGACACAGATGAGCTGGACAGCAATGTTGATGACTGGGAGGAGGAGACTGTTGAATTTTTTATCAATGAAGAAATTATTACCCTTGCAGAACCAGAGTAATTAATAAAACTGTGGTAAGATAGCATACCTCTTGGTAGAGAGAAACTTTTGCTTTCAGCTATTGCTGTAGATTTAATAATTGCTTGAGAAAGTTAGGTCTGTTTGTGCATGGAATGTGGTGTTCTCTGAGTTGGTTTGTTTTCTCTGTGGCTAGCGGGGACAGAAGCTTTTTTAAAAAGTAATGGCAGATGGTCAGGTTTATGAGTTGCACTGAGCAGAATACCGCGTATGTCCTGTCTTGCCAGAGTGATCAAACCCCCAACAGAGCCAGGGCCAACTTCTAAACACAGTGTATTGCGGGCTCTGAAATTCCTGTCAGTAGGAGGAATTGTAGTTACTGTGAGAGAGGAGTGTTGCCTTTTGGAAGAATTGCATGTTAGTTCAAGGCTGGACAGAGTTTCAATACTGTACTAAAGATGATACAGCAAGTTGACTGTGGGCTGATAAAACTTTGAGTAGATGTTTAAATAGCCACGCGAACTCTGCTATCGCTTCCTAGAAATGCTGAGTAGAATGCAGGTAGCAGCAGATTTTTGTGTACTGACTGCCACTGCTTGTTACTGAAATCTTCTATTTAATGCGGTGCTTTTCCCAGTTCCTTTTTGTGAATTCATATTGTATATTTATACGTTGACAATAGAGGCTACTTTCAGCCCCTGATGTAGGAAATGTCCTTTAGGGAGCTTGATGTTGTATTGAGGAGGGAAAAGGTATTTTGATAGTGAAGGCACTCACATAGAACTTAAAACCTGTAATGGGTTCCTGCTCTGTCCTAAACGTGACTTCATTTAAGGAAGAGGAGACTGGAAGTGTGCCTTTTGCAGCTGTAAGTTGCCCTACAGCTCTTTAGCCTCCAAATATCTAAGGAGCTCAAGTAAAACATGAGCAGTATACCTCTTGGACCAGTCTAGCCTCGATACTTTTTAATATATTTGGATCTGGCTTATCTCTGTCCCATACATGGGAGATCATTTTATGGAAGAAAGAGACAGAGAGAGGCTGCTTAGGGGTGGTGGATTTAAACAAACACCGGTTTAAGAACAGGTGAAACGCACGTCTGTGCAGCCTTTCACCCGCTACCATCTGTGGTGGGGTTGAGCTGTTGGTATAAAAGCACGGTGACTAACTCGCCTCTCTTGTCCTTTTCTGCAGCACCACCGTATCTTGTGCCGAAAAGAAGTTCCTTCATTTTCAGAAAGCCTACATCAGCTTCGGAGTTTTTAATCCATATTCTTACACTCTGGAAGGGTGGATGCACCAGATTTTCTCCATTCTGACATACTGTAGTGCCTTTAAGTCTTGCTGCCTGCTGCAGTGAGATACTGGAAAGGCGCTGCTTTTAAATTTTTATTCTTTTTTTTTTCCAGGATTTAACTATTATTTTGTTTTTCCTTTTTAAACCCACTACTACCAGTATTTACTTCCTGATCCCCGTGCAGTTCTTACCAACTGGCAGTTCTTGACTATTGCCAGTGAGGTGAGGTTCATCAGTGCACCCCTCTCTCACACACGCACGATGTTTCTGTTTCAGGACTCTTTCTATGTCCCGAGTGCATGGACAGGTGTTCATTTTGTGTGGGGAAAAGTCAACGAAACCATTTTTCGTATGATGTGTTTTAGTGTGCTGAAGCAGCACTACAGTGGGCTATACCCTCCTCCTTTCAGATTGTGAAAGGATGTCTCCCTCAAAGAGCTGAATATGGAAATAAAAGCAGACCTATACTAAACCCAGGCTGGCTACGCGTTGTTTGTAGGGAATCTTTCCCTCGATGAAAATCGAAGATATCCACAGTAGTAAGAGTGTGTTTGCTATATTGACTATATGGTTCCTCTGAATTATTTTTTTTTTTGATCTCAGTTCCTCATGGCTCTTCTGGTTTTGTGTTGTGGTTGGTTTGTTTGTCACAGTGATGGTACGGCTCATTAATCTGACAAGTTGACCTTTTCACTAAAGCGGAGTGACTAGAAAATGAGTGGGTTTCTTAAACGAGTTGGAAAGTGATACTAGCCTCAGGAATTACTGGATTAGTCTCAAGTCTTAGAGTGAACATTGCAAACTTTCAGAGAAGTGCTCTGTATACCCATGCCTTATGCTCCCTGTTAAGAGTACCTAGTCTCATTTCTAAAGCCCTCTGTGCTCCGAGGGGAAAAGTGTACTTGAAGCTGGTGAAGCAACTTCTCTGTATTTGTGAGTAGAAACTATTTTCTGTCTGTTGTCAGAGCAGTGAGAGAGATTGGCCTGCTGCTTGCCCTTTGAGGACCAGAGGACAATGAGGATGTTCTGTCTCCTCTCCATATATACAGATATATAGATGATTAAAGTGTTGTCCACAGTATTTACCGAGCTCGTCTCTCAGCTGTACTGGAAAAAAGACACTTTCTGGCAAAACAATGCAGAAGAACTTCTACCACATCAAAGTTCTCCAGTAATGGCTTGAACTTCTTCTATAGCAGTAATCATTGTATTTGCCCTTTGATTGTGAAGAGCTGACTTACTGCTTCCTTGCTATGAATTGAGTTGAAAAGTTTTTCGCATGTTTCCATGCAACAAAGTTTTAATAGGCTGCTGTGTTTTATTCCTGGCCGTTGTCAGAGTAAAGAAATGTAATGCCAATGTTAAACGATTTGAGTTCTCTTCTAAGGTGCTTCTCTCCGTGGGGAGAAAAAACAACAAACAACAAAAAAACCCCACCCAAAACATGATGCTTCTGTAGGAGCTTTGGAAGCTGGCAAGATACTGTCCTGACCAGCAGCTAAGGCCTCTTCTCATCTGTAGTGCTGGCATTTCTGACACTGCTCCCTTCAGTTACTGTGTCTTTTCTGTAGTGTTTCTTTCTTCAAATGCTTTTTGCAAATTATGTGCTACTGGAATTGCTTTATGGGTACCTATGTGGTAATTGGGCTGTTTGGCATATTTCGGAGTAACGCTAGGAGTTGTAGTAGGGAGGAAGGGTCTTGTTGGATTTAATCTGTGTTGGTGTGTAGCTTCGAGTCCTGTGACACTGGTTTTCAGCCTGTGGTCCTGGTAAGGGCTTCTGAAGGATGGTCAGAACAGAAGTAGGTGGGGGAAAAGGCTTCCAAGAGCAGTTGTAGCTCCACTGAATGCCTTCAAGGAATACCTTGGGTGGAGGAGGGAAACAAACCTTAAGCATTAAGTAGGATAGTATCTCTCATTGTGTTTGTTAAAGTATTAAGTATTTTTAATGATCGCTTTTAAATAGCAAGTAACTGGAACAATTCATACAATCCTGGGCTAGTCTTCACTTTCACAGTTTTTATTTTGAATTTGTAATAAATTCTCATGACCTTTTAACCATCTGCAGTCCTTATGAAGACTTCATGGAGCAAGTTTTGTTCGCTTGCTAGACTTAAGTTTTAACTTCTTAAATTCTAATATTTTTTAATAAAGCCTTACTGTAACTTTTATGAGCTTTGACTCGTTTACTGTAAATAAATAATGAAGACAAAAGGTGATCTTGTGGGGTTTTTAATAGGCTGTTGTAATGCATGGACTGACACTGGATTGCCTTTCTGAGCATAGGGTCCTGAAATGCCACTGTGGGAAGTGACAATGCAGTGGAAATGTGCGCTTGGAGGTGGCAAACAGTGTCCTGACTGCCTCGGCGGCTGTTGTCAGGTCTTGGGCGAGACGGGAGGGGCCAGGGGGCTCCTTGCTCAGCTTTGGGTGGAGCTGTGGGCCCCTGTGCCTGGTCGTGCTGCATGTTCGATCCTCGGGGAAGGAGAAACCTGGTGTCCTAGAGGGTGGAAAATGAAGGCTGCTCGCCAAGGGTGCGTGCAGATGGATTTGCATGTCAAGAGCTGATTTGGGCTTGCAGGTGGGTCATTTTGCTTATCCTGACCCCTTTCACTGTGTCCTGTGCAAGGTGCAGTGGTGGCAACCTGCTGCCTGGAGTAGCAGGGAGCTGCTGCAGCCCCTTCCTGCCCTGGGGCTCGTATTTCACAGCTCCTGCCTCCTGCAGTCATCCCCCAGCTCCTGCCTCCTGCAGTCATCTCCCCCTGGGGCAGCGCAGGGGTTGCCTCTCTTCCTTCCCTGGGGTGATTGCTGCTGCCTCTGAACTCTTCAGTCTCCTGGAGGGCTCCAACTTGCTGTGCACCTCCCTGGGCAGATCACCCAGCCCTGACCTGGTGGTGTCTTGGCTCATCCATGAAGGAGCAGCAGCTTAGAGTGAGTCCCCTTGTTTAGGGGGAGGGCATGATATGGGGAGGAGCAGCTGGTTGTACCCAGCCCCAGCATCCTTCCTGTCGTGTTTGCCGGCTGTCTTCGGGTGTTCTGGGCCTCTGTGGCCCAGCTGGAGCAAAAAAACCCAGACTTGCTCTCTCTGTGCAAAGCTCTGCATGATTTAAAGCAGAAGTTGGGTATAAGGATCCTACAGAAGGGAAGAAATGTACAGTAGGGGAGCTGAGGGTGAGTGACCTGGCACATGGTGGTGGTAGTCCTTGAAGGGTGATTTTCAGCGTGCCCATCTCTGGGATCTGAGTGACAGATTCATAGTAAGCAGCTGAAGCCAGCTGGGCTTGTAGTCCTGCCTGAGTCTGCACCATTGCTCTAGCACCTTGGCGTCTCTGTTGATCAGAGGGTAAGGGGAGTGCTTTGAAAAGGTAATCCTTTCCCAAGTTTCAACCTTCAACCCCGTGGCTCTGTTAAACTGAAGCATTGCCCTTACCTTGTGCTGAAACATGACAGAGGCGGACACAGAAACCTCTGCTCAGAGTGGAATCACTTAAAGTCAATAATACCTGGAATACCTTGCATTCCTCTCTAATGCAAGAAAAATCCTTAGTAGTTGGTTTGACCTGTCTCCACATGCTGCTTGTTTGGGTTTGTTTCCTTACCCTCAGTGGCCAGGGCTACCAAATACAGTGATTAACGGGGCCGTTCCAGAGGTTAAGGCTGTCTAAGAGAGACTTGCACTATCCCCTCCTCCTGCTGCAGGACTTGGGATTATGGTGTGCAGCATAATATTTTCAGATACTTCGAAGATGAGTTCAGCCCAAGGGAATGAGATGGTTCTAACAGCGTCACTCAGATGTGTGTAGATGATGAAGCTAAATTAATTGTTGCATTCTTGTGAATATTAAAAGCTATTCAAAGCCAAGGAGCTCACCTTGTACCTGGAGATACTTGGAGTGAAGAAATGTTCCTTTGCTGTTGCTGGAACTACTGAAAAATGTTGACTACAGTGCTCAAGACTGGGAGCTGTTCTTGAAACCCTCATTAAATTGACAGGTAGCTTGACTTGTTATTGTGGAAATAAATCTGGTTCCTATAGAAACGGGTTGCTTGTGACTGGTGGGGCCGTAGAACAAGTCTGTTTCGATAATTGCACACCCTCCTGATGAGGCATCATTTCTGTGCATTATGCAGTGTTTTACCAGCATCAGCTCTCCTGTCAGGGGCTGCTAAGGGGATGCTGCTGTATTTTACAAAAGAGAAAACAGCTATGGAAAGGTGAGAATAGGATTTTTCAAGTATCTGTTATTAGCTGAGATGCCAAGGGCAGCTTTTAGGTGGAATTTTGAATTGGTCATCTCTGGAGACCCTCCACCAGGCACACAGGTTTGGGATGTGGGACTGTGCAACTCGCCTACAGCTGCAGTGAGTCAGGGCCAGAGCAGGACCCCAGCTTCAGGGGGCCCAATTAATCCCACAACTGATCCATGACTCCACGCTTTCTCTACCGCTTCACCTGCGGATTAAACAGGCTGAAATACGTGTGCTCTTGTTCGTTATTAATACTGACAAGTGCAGCCTGTGTGTTTTAAATCTTCGAGTCAAATTATTGTATTTCTGACTGGCTTGTGGCACAAGGTGCTGGCAGTTAATTGCTGCTTTGTAATCGCTCCAGTCCTGTGATGAATTCCAGCTTCCAAGGAACCCCGCGGGACCAGCAGAGATCAGGGCCGACTTGCTCTGATCCGATTGAACAGGCTCATAACGATTGCTACCTGGGACTAAACGAAATGGGTACTTGGCGAAATGCAATTCCCTTTCTCTGTCACGAATAACTTTAATCAGTGTTCAGGAGCACTAGGGGCATCTGTAAGCACACTCAGCTCTGTAGCTGTTGGTACCATGGTCCCAGACCTCCAAAGGTTCCCGCTGGCGGCAGCAATGACACGGCTGAGTTCATTCAGCCGCCTTCTCTGTCGGTCTGTTGAAGTCTTGCTGGGTTAGAGACAGAAAAAAAAAAGAATTTGTCAAGATAAAAGTGCAAATCATGGGAGAATTAACTGGTTTAAACTTTATAAATTTCCTTAAACTCTCCAGGCCCTAAGCTGAAGGTTTTAAGATTGGTCAGCGGAGGAGTTGCAGCCCGAAGCTGTAGGTATCGCCGGTGCTTGCACAGAGCTGAGCCCTGTGGCAGGTCAGCCTGGGTGGCCTCGGCACACACGGGCCCCATGCGTGAGCTGTGTGTGCAGGTGCCCCTTCGCGTCCGTCCCATCAACGCAGCACAAGCGGAGAGGCGGGAGCTGCCTCGCTGCCCGCAGAGGGGGCGAGCTGGGGGGGTTGTGCCTGGGCTGCAGGAGAGACCCTGAGATGGGGACCGGGGACCACCACGAGACTGGCTTTTCTGGTTCACTTGCTTTCAAACCCTGCAGAACTCCTGGCCTTGCTGGGACCCAGCAGGGATGCAGCGGCCTGTGCAAACGGCACCTCTTCTCTCCAGTGCCGCGTCCTTCACCTCTTGCTCCTCTTCTTAAGAGGCAGGGATTGCAGGAGGTCCCCACTGACCTTTTCTACATCGCTACACCTATTCACATATTTTACTGTGCCCTTGTTATTTACCTTCTTTTCCAATGTAAATCCCATTATTTTCTATCATGCTTCAGCTGATCTTTCTCTGAACCCTTCCTGACTGCACGCTAATTCTGTAATATATCTTGTCTCTTGTCTCCATGCAATAGTCAAGTGATAGCAGCCCTCACAAGCAAAGAGAGCGTGAATCTGTCTTTCCTCTTCAGGGATTGTCTTACAAATGCAATTTTCGTTTTGCACCTTCCTGGTGAAACATCCTTCTCCCCACCCCTTTTCTTTTTTTTTTTTTAAAGCAGCCATTAACCTCACAAGGATATCAACTTCATTTTTATACGGCTTATTCAGACTTGCAACATTTGCCCTGAGATCTATTTTCTGTAATGGAAATCTGGGAAGGAAATGTGCATTACATTAGTCTGGGTAACTTCTATCTATGAGAATGAGATTCTCCTAATAATGTAAATAACTGTAATTATGAAAGCAAATTAATTGACTGGGCAGTTGAAGTACTTCGATTTCTTGGTGTATTTGGATTTACATCATGTTCCCTGCTATTTTTACTCCCAGCCTAACTCATTTAGAGCTGCTTCTGCCGGCTTATTAATCCTAACTCACAATTTACTCTGTTAGCGTCTTGTTATGTTTTAATGCTTCCGTGCAATGGCAGAAGATTTATGCTTTTAGAATACTGCTGGATAGACAAGGTGTTAGCCCCAGACTGGAAGAGGACTCTTTTGGATGCGTGGGTACGCTGAGAGCAAAATTTGGACATTACAAGGACTTGGTAAAAGGGGCCTGAAAGTGTTACAGAAAAAAACTTATAAAGGAAACATGCTGACCTCATTCTCCAAGCTCTGCTCTTGGCTGGCACACTGGTGTGTGCACATGATCCCGTGTCAGCCCACCTTTCGCAGGCAACTGCCACCGCCAAGGATAAACCAGGAGTTCCCTTCGAAGTTTTGTTCTTGTGTTGCTTTGGGTTTTAAGGCCTGAGCTGGACCAGTGAAAACTAGAAGAATTTTTTAAAAAATGTTGTTCTGGTAATTGAAAACTTGCAGATCAAAACTAGAGATACTCACTGGAGACTTGGAATTTAGCAGGAAATGCAAAAGAAAAAACAGTCTTGACGTTTCCTGAACACCCATGGGCACTTGTCCCTAGCTACTTGTCTCTCTTCCGTGCCTGGCACCCCAATGCAGTTATTCTGTAGGTCAAAGAGTGGTTCATTTATGCTTTAATTGCTTATCTAACGATCTGTTTACCTGAGAGAGGATGAAAGCTGCTCTGGAGTAGGAGGCACAGGGTTCTCTATCCCTTCCCTTGAGGCTTGAGCATCTCCTTATGAGCCGTTTCAGTGGAGGAGAAGGAATATCGTTCTCCACAGTAATTACATACTGTGATAATTATGTACTGAAATAGATTGTAAGGGACTGAAAAGAAACAGAACCAGTTCTGTAACCTGCTGCAACTCCTCTCCCACCTTTGGCTTTTCCTTAATAAAAGCCAGAAATTGAATGGTCTCCATCCTTGTGTAATGGAGATATTTCTATGAGTCCTTCTGCAGGAAAGGCTCTGGAAGATGACTTTGGGCACTTTTGCTCCCCAGGAACTTAACCATTTTCTTTCCCAGCTCCTCTGTCTGAATCTTGGCTGGAAATGGAGGTAAGAGGTCCTGTGCCCCCCCGGCTTGGATGGGGGTTGGTTGGGTGTCACGTCCCTGCAACCCTGCTATTACCCAATGCCAGCGACTGTTTCGCTGCACAAGGGACCTTCAAAGCATTTTGCAGGAGCTACTGGTTCTCTAAATTACAGAAGTTGCAACATCAGTTACAAAACATAGCTTGTTGGCCCTGGCATTGTGCATGTAAGCATGTTTTCCACGCAAAGCTGTAGTGTGGTGTTCGTTTGGCCAAGAGACACAATGGTGACAGTGCTGCAAGAAATCCCAACAGGCCGTTAACCGAACCCAGACATAACAGTGGTTCTTCTGACTATTTTATAACAGAGGGTGGTCCTGATGGATCCAAGTGAAGATCCAGATGACATCTTGCAAGCTAACAGATCCCAAGAAAAAACACTTGTATTTGACATGGGTTTTGATCACAGACCAACCCAGGTAACATCCTTCCCTTTTTTTTAACAGAAAGGCTTAAGATTAGAATTGTTTTCCCTGCTTAGACAAATGTTTTCGGCAGGTGAGTAGAACTGCCCATCCCAGAGGCTACCTGTCACCCGGATAAAAGATGACAGTGCTGAAGGTGAGAGGACTGTGAGGGTTTTCCTTTGGTCAGAGGAGCGGGGAGACACGTGCAGTATTCAATCTGCCTCTGCCTCCCTCATCGGGACTCCCCAGGTGCAACACACCTGGGCAGAGATGAAGAGCTTTGTCTCCCAAGGTTTCCAGTGAATAAGATCATTGACACGTTATTTGGCTCTGTTGCTCACACACTTCTTTCCTGTGGCTCTGTTGTTCTGCAGTGAGCTCTGGTGCCCTTACTGAGCTGTGTTTTGCAGACAGAGGCGAGGTGCAGTACGAGGATTTCATCAGCACCTGCATTTTGAGATCACCATGATGTGACTGCAGCCTTGCTTCTCACAAGCAATGCAGTCATCCATGTTCTCTTTCACGCGAAACGTCAGCGTAGCACCCTTGTATGCTACCTGAGACTTTTTTTGGAGGCCTGGTGGCACTTCTCAATAAAGGATAAGGTCAGGGAGAGAATTTACTCCCTTCTTCAGCAGACACAAAGGAAAAACAAAGCATTCCACGTTCAGAGTCCAGGAAAATAATGATATTTAGGGACATTTATTTCAGTAAGCTTCTGCATCTTGCCTACCTTTAGAAAATTCAATAAACCTCTGTGCTTTTCTGCTCATTTTGATGATGTGTCAAAATCTAAGTGTCTCATGAATCGTTCCAAAGCCCACGGAATTTGTAAAACATAGCGAGAAAATCATTGGGAATGCAATTAGGTATAGATCATTTGGACAGCTGTTGTGCCTGACCAAAAATTTAAGCTTTTTTGACTGAATTAGGAGGAAGGATATGTGTCCACTACCAAAAGCCTGGTAGGAGGAGTCATTTCTGGCTACAGTGCAACCATTTTTGCATGTGGTCCAACAGGTGAAGTAGTCCCTGTAGCTGTACTGTGCCAGAGGAATAAAATGTATCTGTACAAACCAGAAATTAATCAAATGTTAATTAACTGCTTACTGTGAGGACAAGACTGAAGCATTAAAATACTATTCTTATCAGGAAGCGTGAGTCTTCCTTTAATGCTACAGTAACAGTGAAGCTGCTCTGTTTGGGCTGTCACTCAACTGGAGCAGAGTTCAATGGAGACAAATCTTCCCATTAAAATGGAGGAGGTGGTGAGGGCAGCTGTGTAACACTGGAGACTGATCTCAGGAGAACAGATAAAGCTGTAGAAAGTACCTATAGAGTACAGACTAGGTAAAAATACATTTTTACCCTAGCTCTGAGCACCTAGGTGAGCAGTTAACCTACCTGTCTGCCCATCTGCAAGTCCTCTTCCTACCCATTTCGGATGGCACGTGCCATGTCTTTCCTGCAGCTGTGTCATCGTGGGATGAGCAACTGGAGGAAGTCAGGGGATGAAGGACAGAAATCAGTAGGACACCAGGCTTTATCTGTTGTGGAAACTTGCTCGCATGGAAGTCGGTCTTTACTGCTCTTCTTTCTGTCTTTAACAGGAGCAGGAAAAACCTACGTGACGCTGGGGACAGACTGTGAACCAGGGATTTACATCCGTGCTCTTGATGACCTCTTTAAGGCCCTCGAAGCTACCACGGAGGAGATGGATTACACAGTCTCCATGTCCTACCTGGAGGTGAAGTGTCTGTTTTGCCTTGGATCCAACCTCTGTGGAGCAGGTGTAATGGGAAGTGGGGAGTCTGAGACTGTATCAACTCAACCCTTTTTGCAGATCTAAGGACCCAGTGCTAGTCTTACACCAGCCCCTCATTTCTTACCCTCAGATCTATAACAAAGTGATCCGTGACCTCCTGAACCCATCCTTGGGGTTCTTAGACATGAGAGAGGACCCCAGAGGCAGCATCCAGATAGCAGGAATTATGGAAGTCTCCACCATGAATGCTCAGGAGGTACCTTGGGCTATGGGCCACAGTGAGGGGAAAGGGAGGGGGTTTGTGTTTCATGCATCGGTACGTTAAACTTTCTTGACGCTTTCCTATTGCCTGTGCCTTACTTGGTAGCAAGGACCTTTTGTAGCAGGGCCTTGGTGGAACTGGATTAATGGGATAAATTGTATGGAAAGGGCTCATCATGGAGCCGTGTGAGTGGTAGAAACCAGGCTAAAATCCTCAGCTAACCTCCTGCTAGCTCTGCTTCTCCAGGGTGCAGGCTGCTCTCCTGGAAGGACAAGAGTGCTTTGATTTGTGTACATGTGTCAACAAACAATTTGGAGAAGGAGAAGAAATAATGAAACCCCTTTGAGGTACAGTGATGTGCACTTCTATATGTGCCTTCAACACGAGACAAACAGGCCTCCCAGGAAAACGGCCCCAACCCCAAAAAACCCCTCACTTCCAAGTTTACAAGCCAAAGGGAGAGATCTGAGGAAAACCACCAGCAAAACCCCTGCTAGCATGAGCAGCACCAGAGTTTGCCTGCGCCCTGGGTGAGGGGTGCAGTCCATGGGGAAGGCCACGCCACGGCTCAGGCAGAGCTGTACATCTCTGCGGGCTCTTCTGTACCGCTCGGATCACGCAGCGGTTCATGAAAGGAAAGGAGCGACGCACGCGGGAACCCGCTGCTGCCAACCAGCCGTCCCGCAGCTCGCACGCAGTGCTGCAGGTGACGGTGACGCAGACAAGCCGAAGGAAAGCGATCGGCGAGGATGCGCGCATCGGAAAGCTTCTCGTGGTCGGCTTGGCAGGGTCAGAGAGAGCAGCCCAGGTACGGCTGGAGCTCGGCAGCTTTGGATGAGAGCAGTTGGATTCCCCGGCTTGCCAGGCAGGGTGTGCATGCCTGCCCTCCTCCCTGGGGACACCAGCACTGTGTGCTCCTCTGTTGCTTTAGAGCAGTAGTTTGTGCCTGGGATAGCCTGAAAATAAAGACAGAGTTTGATGATATTGGTAATATCTTTTATTAGACCTAGTATAATGGGGAAAATGTTAACTAGCTTTTCGGTGCAGCCTTTTCTCAGGTCTGAAAAAGCAGCAGCGAGTTTCACATCTAAAGAGAAGCTGAGGTCTGTTAGGCAGGGATCAGCTGGGCTGTCAGAGAAAAAGCTGGTACCAGTGGAACAGAGGGATGCTGGTGGGTGGAAAATAAGGCAGCAGGCTCCTACGGGAAGGAAGAAACCTTGGAACTTGGGGAGGTGATTTGAGGGAGAGAGATTTTACATACCCAGTATTTCTACCGAGATCAGGAGTTCTGGAGTGATGCAGTTATGCATCTTAATTTCTGAAAGAATCTTTAGAAGATAATTAATAGCTATCTTTTAAGAACCAAAAGGTCAGAGCTGAGTTATCTGTTCCAAGAAAAGTACTCTGAGCAGCACCTCTGCGCCTCAGAGTGGGGTTTAACCCTGCACTTTCAGGTAGATTTTGCAGGAGGCATTGCTTTGACGTCCAAACCTTGGCCCTGGTGATGCCACACGTCTTCCCCAGGCACAGACCCACTGTTCTGAAGCATGTGCTTTGTCTGTCTGTTCCCCCCTCCCTCCCTCCTCTCCCAACAGACTCAGAACTGGGGCAAGAGGATGAAAGAAGAGCCCACATCAACTGCTCACTGCTGGCTTTGGCAACTGCATCAACGCTTTGAGCAAGAAGGGGGGAGTCGGGCCCAGTTTGTCAATTTTTGAGACAGTAAACTCACATGTCTGCTGAAGGTACTGTACGCTAAAAAAAGCTTGGTGTGTCTGTTGCTGGTATCACCACTCAAACCAGACAAGGCTTGAGAGCTGATCCTTGGATAGCTCTGTGCATTGTCTTTATCCAGCTTTCAACGCTTCTCCGGGGTCTTGCATGAGCTTTGCAATGCAATCAGGGCTTGATTTGGACAGTGCTGTCTCTGTTACAAGCATGTTGTCGTGTGATGTCTGCAGTTAAGAAGGGACCTCCTACAGGGTAAAGGAAATCCTATAGATTCGAGCCATATGTCTCTAAGCTCACAGGCGACCGGTGATTTTTTAAATTAACTTACTGCCTTTGAATGTCTCACCCCTTCTACAAGATTTGGCTGAAATTGGCCAATAAATTTGGATGTTGAGGCAGGAGGAAGAAAGACTGAGGGTGTCTGTGTGCTGTCATAAGTTGTCCCTCCCTTAGGAAATCAGAAAGGTTGCAGTAGTAGCTCTTCGCTACACTGGTTATTTGATGGATACTTTACAACTTCATTTATGAACCTCACCTCGAGCCTTGGTGCTGAGCACCACTGTCACTGCCTGACAGATGTGTTTTCTAGAGGATAGTGGGGAGGGAAAGGGATGGAGAAAAGGGCAGGCTTCTGTGTGAGCAGCACTGAGAAGCTGCCAGCCCCGTTTGTGGAAACTGCAATTTTCTCGTAAAAATTCTTCTTTTGTAGAAAGTTAATTACTTATTGATCTTGCTGTTGATGGAGAGAGGGCCTAATGAATGGTCTTTTACCACCATTTCCTTCACTCCTAATTTGGGTTCTCCACTAGAATCTCAATGAACCGCAGGGGTACCCAGCCACAGTGGTTACCTCCAAGCAGCAAGCCCGTGGTGTCCACTGAACACATCAGTGCTGCATCCCTCTAGGACTCGTTAGGGGGCAACAGCAGGCCTGTTATGATGGCACATATCAGCCTAGCCAGCACCTCCTCTGTAGAATCTTGAATGACCTTATCTATGTCTAATGAGCAAAAAACATCAAGACACAAGTAAATGTGCAAACAACTCGCCAAGAGGTGGGGGGTAGGGATGAAAAGCTTGCAGAGTGGTAATAGGAGATGTAGTGGATGAAGGGAGAACAAACTTCAGGAGGGGGCAGTGCAGGGTGGTGTAAAGGCTGAGTGTGAGTGATAGAAGAAAAGCAGCTGAAGGGAACAGTGGAAAGCAAATTGTGTGGGTCATGGATGAGAAGAGCAATATGGCGGTCAAAACAAGGGAGCAGAATAATGGAAAGGCAGAGGATGATGAGCCTAGCATGGACCTGAGTGCAGAACATAAGGAATGATGGTTGGAAGATGACTATTGGGAGGTCAATGTATGTGGAATGTTCCAGTGGGGATGCTGGGCCTGGAAGAGGAACCAAAGGGCTGCAGAAAGGAGGAATAAAATGGAGAGGCTTGTGGTGTGAAGCAAGATGAACAACTATCTACACAGGGCTTTCACTCTTTGTGGATCTCTGTGTTTTCCCTGTGGACACAGGGTCCCTGGCTTTTCTCTGTTACCTTCCCAGAATTAGGGAAGATCACTAATTTACTGTTTCCTGACTCATGAGGGAAAATTCTTCCCTGTCACAGGACTCAGTGCCCCTCCAACTGAAAGCATAGCTTTGTTTGCAGCCATTGCACCAATAACGGACCAGGGGAAAAATGCTCTCACATTCTGGCTCACCAGGTAAAATGTAACCTGCAGAACATCTCCTGCCACATCGATCGATGCACCAGCATTATTGCAGACCTCTGCAGGGAGACTGAGTGTCTGAAGCCAAGGGTTGAAAACAAGGAGAAGGAGAAAAGTGCAGTCAGCTCTGACCTCGGGGTTCTGCAAGGTAGAGCCAGGAGCAAGAACTGTTCTGGGGTATCTGGAGGGAAGAGAGTGGGGAGAGGAGCTGTGCGGACAGGTTGTGGTAGTGCTTGATCAGCCTCCGTGCAGATGTAGCTGGGGGAAGCTGGTTCAGCAATGCTTGTAGAGAAGCAGAGAAGAGAACAGAGTCTGATGGGCAGTGGGGGCAGACAGGGGAGCTGAAGTTGTTTTTCCGTGTGAGCCTGTCTATGATGTAGGTTGTGATGCTGTGCAACACATTCAACCTTCTCAGCATCTTCCCCAACATTAAATTGTGTTAAATTTCACAAACCTGCCCTTGAAAACAGCTTTGACATCAAGTGGCAGCATTTGCTGTGGGAAGTCCTGACTGTTACGGAGAGGTGCCCGAGTTTGTAGCCTGCGTCATCACGGGCTCTGAGGCTGTGTCAGGACACGGAGCTCTGTTGTATGGTTCGTTGCACTTAATTAAAAAAAATAAAATAGGGAGTGGGGCAGGGTGAAGCTTTTAAAACATTGATTGTTCTGCCCTGGGGATTGTTCCTTTTGTCAGTGAATCTGGCAAAGAATGAAATAAAAATAGTCAAGTTCTCTGACAGACGAGACACACGGTATAATAGGTCTCTGCTACCAATACCCAAGGTCATTTCTAGATAACAAGCACAGAAAACCGATACTTTTTCTTTTTGACGGGTGGGAAGGGGGAAGAGATGTCCCTGCAATGCAGTATCCTCTTAATGCTCACAAAAGCAGCAGCAATGAAACCTATTTATTGCTAATAATACAATCATAAAGGTATATCAGGTTTCTTAAGCACATGATTAACTTCAAGAGACTGCAGAATGAAGCAGAGCTATAAACGAACGCCTTGTAACATGTGGACCGAGCGGCTTCATCCCAGAGTAGTCTTGTCGGGGCTTGGCAGAAGTTTAGCTGGCTTAACGTGAGATCAGAAGTGTCTTCTGCAGCAGAGGGGCACCAAGGCTTTGAGGCACACAGTGGCCAAGTAACGAACACCTTGCGGGCACAGCTGATGGGGGCTTTCAGGGGGCAAATGGAGATGCGTGGCAGCCCAATGGAGCTGGAAAACAGCAACTTGGAGCTGCACGTTGATACCTGCAGGCACCTTCTAACAGTCACAGAGTGAGCAGCTCCTTAGCTTTAAGCACAGTTTATACGTGGACCTCCAAACTCACCATGAGAAATGCTAATATCCCATGGTCCCCCCAACAAAAATGACAAAAAGATGGTTAAAGAGAGTATTTAATTGCTCAAGCAGAAAGATGGAGGGCAGGTTTGAGATTGACCTGTGTGATGAGGAAAAACGTAGGAGGGTGGTGTCTGCAAAAGGTACCCAGGGATTTAAGTCCGTACGAGACGGTGCCTTAGGTTAAGGTGCTATATTTGCAATGGGGTGATTTCTGCTATTGAGAAACACATCCCTAATCCCTCCTGGTGCTTGTAAGGAGACTGCAGCCTGCACATGGTGCTGCTCTGTAAGGCAACCAGCTATCCCTATCATAAAGTTTAAACTCAAGACTGAAAGTACAAGTGGTAGTATTAATGGAAAAACTGGTGGCAGCACAGATGGGGATTGTTGGTCCTTCCACGTTCCAGTCACCTGTGTTTGTGTAGTGTTTTCCATCCAGATGCACTGCATCTGGGCATAATTTCATACCAGAGAAAGCAGCAGCATCCCTTTCTTTCGGATAAACTATCAGTAGGTGTCAGTTCCCTCTCATTATCACTAGTCACCCACTTAATGCCTCTGTAAACTTTACAGCCCCTTAGGATTTGGGTCATTTGTAGTTAAAACAGTCTTCAGGACATTAAAGATCTTCAACAAGTACCTGTGAACAGGCAACAATTTGTGATGAGGTTGGGAAATGCACTATTCTCCTTGCCATGGAAAGATCACATAGGAGGCCTCTTTTGTAGACTTCCAACCAGGAGGAAGTTAATTGTGCTCTTCTGCACGGTTTGTCCAGCTCCAGAACAGCCGGGACTAATTAGTTCTGCTGCTGTCATGGAAGAAGAAGTTGGACAGATACAATAAAGGTCTATGCATGCATTGTTAGAGTTATGTCACTGCGTCCCAGAAGTTCCTTTCTTTTTTTTTTTTTTTTGCTGGCAGCTGGGAATGACAGAAGGCTCAGGGTGCATGTAAGTGTGACAAGCCAGCAAAGGAAGAGAAAGATGAAAACACAGAGGAGAAAGACAGGGAAGGGGATATCGTAGATCCACCTGAACCTCATGAAGTTACAGTAGCAAGAGAAGAGATCAACCTGCTGCTGGCAGAAGGTGGCCGTGAGGGTAAGGAGGTGAAGGTGCCCTTATGGAATGACAGAAGGCTCAGGGTGCATGTAAGTGTGACAAGCCAGCAAAGGAAGAGAAAGATGAAAACACAGAGGAGAAAGACAGGGAAGTGGATATCGTAGATCCACCTGAACCTCATGAAGTTACAGTAGCAAGAGAAGAGATCAACCTGCTGCTGGCAGAAGGTGGCCGTGAGGGTAAGGAGGTGAAGGTGCCCTTATGGTCACAAGTCTGACCTCTGTCCAGCAGAGGCTTGGAGGCAGGATGGCAGCAGCATAACTCAGAGAGATTCTTGTGCCTTTGGGCTAGCACTGCAAAAACAGTGTGGCACCTGTACTGCAGCTGGACTCCTAAATATCTTGGGCTGCTGAAGGAATCAGCGTGGGAACACTGATGTTTGCATCCTGCCTCTGTCCCTGTGTTTTTTAGGATGAGGGAAAAGCACCCACTGGGCTTGTCCACCCATAAATGAGCTAATTCTTCCCATTTCCCCTTTCAGGGACATTTTGAGGGTTTGTCACTCACCGGTTAGTCAGTGTTTTGGTAATAAATTTTGGTGATTATTTTTGGTAGCCAACGTTAATGTTTGTGAGTTCCTCTAGGCAGGGACTGTGCATCTGGATGTATCTGCCATGAGTGAAACATGGTGGCTGCTAGTGGAACAAGCAAAATACTTTTTGTAGATGTTATTTTAATCTCAGCATGAAGGACACAGCACCGATTTGCTCAGATGCCTTTGCTACCCCAAGAAGCTAAGCTTCCTTGACAAACCTCTATCTGTCTTTTTCAGACAGAGCTGGAGCAGCACTCAGCAACTGCCAAGGAAAAAGCTTCCCAGATGGAGGAGTTTTTCCCCAGACAAATCACCAGTGAGGATCAGCAGGAGGTGCAAAGGCTCCTCTGCAGAGCCCACGAGCTTGAGCTTGGCAACACAGAGCTGCAGGCAAATACACTGCACAAGGAGAATCCATTGTGCCAGAAGGATTTTGCGATCCAGCACCTGCAGCAGCATATGCTACTCTGTGAAGAAATTATTCAGCAGCAGCAGATGCTGATAAAAGGTAAAGCAGCACATTTGCCCCTGCTCTATCATTATCTCCAAGTTTTGTTTTCTGATGGCAAACTGGAGAACAATCCACCCAGAAAACCTTGTCTTGGATGTCATGACTCCACAGCTCTCAGCCTTTTCTCTAGAAGTGATCTTTAACTCTTCCTCCCCATGTCTTCTCCAGCCCAGAACATTCTTGTCCCAGAGGCACTGGTGAGGTTACACCACCTGCACCTCTCTGAGTTGGAGGAGGGGACATTGAACCACTTGCTTCTGCTACATTCAAAGATGTCCAGCGTGCTCAGGGTAAGGCAGAGCTGACCTTTGTGCTGGGGAATCCATGCTGTCCCATGATCTTGTGTCATGGCCATAGATTCATCCACACCCAAAGCCTGGCTGGGACCTGGTGCCAGTCAGGGGCTGTGCAGAGCTTTGTCTTATGAATGTGTTGTCTCCCTAGAGCTCCGCTCTCCTTCCCTCCTTCCCTTCGACTCAGAGAATTAATAAGGCTTTTAGAGACAGAAAAGGACCCAGGCAGGGCTGTGCATGAGTCGGTGTGTTCATCCTCCCGGCTGCTACTGTGTTAAGCTTCAAGAGAGAGAACTGGCTTGGTGGTAGAGACCATCTTCCCTGGAGCCCTCTCTTTGCTCATGGCACAGTCGTTATTGAGGTCTTCAGGTCTTTCCTACAAGAAAGGAAAGATGCTGCTGGCCCCTTTGTCTTTGGAAAACTTGTGCGTGTTTTGAGACAGTAAGGAGCTGCCAGGAAATTGCCAGTCTTCAGCAGGGAGTCCAAGCAGCACCATCTCCTGTTTATTATGATTGCCTAGAATGAATGGGGCAAGGAGTTGGGTTTCACCTGGAATAATAAACTTAATGCTAGTGATGTCGTTGTATGAGAGATTAAACTACTTCGGGTGCCCTTCCACAGAAGGGGAGCAAATAGCAGGTGGCTGGAACTATGGAAAAGCACATGAAGTATCAAGAGTGTCTTTGTGACCGCAGGCTGGGAGCCAGGGCTAGAGGAGGGGCTTTACAGTGAGAAAAATCTGCTGCGGATTTCATTCTTCCCTCTTCCTGCAGCCCCGTAATAGCCCTTCCCTGGATGTAGGTCAGCATCTGGATCTAAATAAAGATGAAGTCAGAAAGGGTCTACCTGGGAACACGAAGGATCTTCCCTGGGGGGGTGAAGTTTGTCATTCCCTTCATCACTCTTGAGTCAGACAGGTAATGGGAATCTTTCTCATTATTAGACTTATTCTGTAGGGCATGGGGACCTGGCAGCTCCCAGCTAAGTCCCCAAAGCTGGGAGATATCAAACTGGATAAACCTCTAGAAACTGGAATCTGTTAGAAAGGAGTTTCCTGGTATACTGCTCTTGCAAAGTAGCTCTGTTTTAACAGAATCTTCTCTGTAGAGAGGGCTATGGGGGAAATGTTTGGATTTGCCTCTGTTGACTGGCAAGCATTTAAACCAAATAAAGTAGCAAAATTTGTGAGGATCAGGGGACAAAAGCTCTCTCCTTCATGAATCCTGAACCTTCCTTGTTGTGTTCTTTATCACCATGTTTACCGGGTTTCTGGCTTTCCTCACAGCTTGAGAGCTCTCATCTAGACGTGTTTCATCTCTCCCTGTTGATAAACGGCCCATGCTTTTATCTGTTAACATCTTGGCATATTCTTTTCACAGTGGCAGTTGCAGATCATCTACAACAACACCCTGTAAGAAGAAGGGGTCTCTGGAGACCCATCTGTCACAGTCCACTCAGTGGACTCATGATGGTTCATTTGCCGTGATCTTGAAGTGCAAAATTAAGGTGACCACGCCAAAGCGGTTTGCTTCAATCAAACAGTGAAACTTTATTGTTCACCCATAAAGTGGCGTGTGATAGGTAAAGAGGGTGAAAGGAAAGGGAAAAGTAAAGTGAAAAGAGATCGATAGCTACCACCACGGGTCCAAGACATCCCTATGGTCCCAGGTCCAGGCAGCGTCCCGCCGGTCCTAACGATCGTTGTGATCCTTGGTGGGGAAAGTTTCCAAGGTTCGGTTGCTGAGGAGCCATCTTCTACACCAAGTAACACACCTTGCTGCTCCTCTGTACCTCCGCCTCTTCTTGGCTCCGTCGATGCTGATCAACCTTTCTTGACAGCAGTTATGTGGTCCACCTTACCAGCTCAGGATCATCCCTGGTACCGGAGAACGGCATGGCACTCCTTGTATCATGCAGCTCTCCATCCCTGGGTGTTTGTACATGGCACTCTTCAGCCAAAACAGAGCCGTCTTGCCTCCGCAAGGCTCCCTCTTTCAGCTGTTATCTCCCCTCACAAGGTTTCCAGAAGGGAGAAGCAGACACCAGCACTCTTATCTTTTGGCTGTTTTTTGCCAGATGAACAAGTTGCTCAGCTCTCGTCTTTGCTCTGTGCAGGGCATAATGACCTTACAAGCCTGGCATTCCAGTCTCGGGATCAGCAACTTCGTCTCAGGCAGGCCGTTGCAGGTTCATGTCAAGATGTTAGCCTAACTTTTGGGGTACCTTATTGTCCATATCCCTGATGACAAGATTGAGACAGTGCTGTTCTTCGGACTGACTCTTACACCATCTCAGCCCAACTTTCTCTGCTTTTCCAAAAAGCCCAGTTCAGCGGGTCAGTATGGCAGGACCTGAATTCAAGGCACGTTTGCCATGGATAGCACCTTCCTCTTATGATGACAGAACATGAACGGCAGCTAAATCTATTGCATGTGAGGCAGGTAAACCTTGGCAGGCAATAAAATCACTCCTGGAGCGCTGGCCTTGGGTTTAAAGCCTGGCATTTACTTAAGAGGCCAAGGCTTAGCTGCCTCCTCTAATTTGGGCTCTCCCTGTGTAAATCACCCTGTCTCCAGCGTGTCCAGTGGAGTGATGGGAGTTGTAAATAGCAATGCCCCATGTGATCTGGTGTGAGGGGACCTGTGCTGTCCAGGATGATCACCTCCTTTTATGGCATTAATTGATCTGCTAGACCCTGATTTGATGACTATCTGGTGAAACTGATTTCACTCAGCACCCTGGAACAGGAGGGAGACTTAGAAGCTCAACAGTTTCTTGCTCGCCGGCTGACTCGTTTTGTAGCAACGGCTCTGTATGGGAGACACACAGCCAAAAAGCTTTGCCTTTGTTTCTCTCTACCTAGAAGTTACTATAAAAATATTTCAGGTGAGATTTACTGTCTTCCAAATGTTTGAAAGTGCTTTGAAGGGGAAAAGTATAAAAGCTTTGAATGAAAAGCAAATTATGCTGCAATTGCTTTGATGTTTAGCAGAAACCAACAGGTGTGCCTGCAGGAAAGATGACTCCCAGGCTGTGTTCCCCCACCTCTCTAGACTTTCATGGGAAAAAGTCACCTGCAGACGTTGCTGCTGTTCCACTGAGTCTGGAGACTTTGGAGGAAATTGCTGCCAACACCAAAAGCGTCTCCCTCATTGCAGCCAGTCACCGTTCCAGAGCCCAGCACAGAGACCCTGGGAGCAAAGTCTTCTCAGCCCACTTCTCTGAGGAGGACATGCTTGAGCTGAGGTATCTGGAGGCTGATTCCACCCCAGATTGTCAGACGAGAGACAGTGCATGTACTGGGGGTTTGCCATCGGAGCCTGCAGCTGTGAGCCAGCTGTACTCCCCAGCCAGGGGAGCGCTGAAGAACAGGACAGACCAGGAGATACCTGCTGAGAGGACAGCCAGAAGGAAAAGAGCTTGCTCTCTCAAACCGAACTTCCACAGGGTAGGTCCTTTATGTGTCTTTCTGAAGGGGACGGGTTGAGCAGAAGACCCAGTGGAGCTAGGGAGGTTTGAGTAAGAGAAGAATAGTAAGAGAAGAATAGTACAAACTGCATGAGGAAATAATTCAATGTTTTTATTCTTCTGTAATGCCCCTGACCTCCTGCCTTAACAGCAAGCCAAGCCAGTCAGGTGGGAAGGGAATCTTTTTGGTACAATGTGGCAACAGTCAGAGGTGAGAGACATCACCGCTGAGGTCAACTCAACTTGGTGTCTTTCAGATCTCAAAAGCTAAGCATTGGACTCCCTCAAGCCCCAGTACAGACAAAGCTTGTGACAACCACCCGTGCCGAGCTAGACTCTCCCATCAGCCAAAAGCTGCAGGCAGAATATCCATTGCCAGAAAGCTCAAGGTTCCTATCAGCCACCATTCAGGCAGGGGCCAAAGAGCCACTGGTGACATCCTGCATCACCTCTTTTGGAAAAGATGGATTGTCATGTGAGAAATAAGCCAGAGTAAAGGCTAATGATCAGAAGTATTAGTAATCAGATCTTGATTTTTTTTTTTATATGGTCTAATTTGGTTTTGATGGGTAAGAAAGCATATCCTTTGCAGACCACTGCCTCAACTATGCTGGAGGAATTAGTGTTCAGTTGGGTTCACGTGCACCAAGTCACTGACCTCGGTCTAGTCATTCAGGCAGTTTCACATCCAAACCAAGCCTCAGCAAGGAGACCAAGACATGACAGGCTGCACTGACCAGCTGTCAGCGTCAGTTGTTTTGCTTTGTGCAGACACACAAGGCCAGGATGAGGTTAGGGGAACTGGACACCCAAATCCTACTGAAATGTAGCCAGAATCCTTCCCCATTCTGGCAAGAGGTGCTTACTGATGCTAATTGTTTTTTATTTATTTATTTTTTTAACTAAAAAATGGTTAACTTTTTATTTACAATGCCATAATTTATTTTGGCTAGCTATTAGTGACTCATGCATTGCAAAATGTTTTTAAACTGTGCTCTGCTCCCACCATTTAAAATGAAGCTCTCCCTGCCTTTCATAGAGGGGACTCCCCTGGAAGTGCTGCCAAAAGACGATGCTCCTGCAAGCACCATCCAGCAGAGCAACACTGATGGCATCAAAGGACGGGTCCTACAGAAGCAAGTCAAGGGTGAGCACACGAAATACCGGGTTGGCTGGCTCAGGAGGCACTACTATATTCTTCAACACTTGCTCTGTTTCAGTCTGAACCTGAAGAGCTGAAAATGCAACACAAACAGGCCAGTTGGGAAAGCAGGCACATGGTAAGGGTTTTCCAGCCAAGTTTTAAGCCTTTTTGGTTTGTTTTTTTTTTTTTTGCAACAGATGACATGGGCAATGTTCCAGAATGAGTTACACTCCATCTCCCTCTTAGCCAAAAAGAACCTCTTAGGAAGAGGAAATAACATTTTCAGAAGTGTTCATAATCCTAGTCTAATCCATATGTGAATGACAAAGTTTAATCTGAGTTAGCCATGTGACAACACACTGCTTCCACTGAAAGTGTCACCCTGGGATTTTCTTAAGGCAGCGAAGTGCAGATCTAGTGCCTTTGCCAAACTCGCCCCTCCACAGCCCATGGCAATCTGTCTCTTCCCCATTTTGACTGGCAATGAGACTCAAATCGAAGCGTGAGAAACTTGACCGAGTACTTCATCCTCCCTCACTTGCAGGGCCTGCAGATGGTGCCAGCAGTCGGCAAAAGCAGCAGCCAGCTGCCCGCTTGGGGAACCAGCCACTAAATAGAAGTCACTGGGGGAGCAGGACTCTCTGTGGCCCCAAGGGATTGCAATTTCAAGACTGCTGGAAATCGAGGAAGCAGATGCAGGGGGATGTGCCTTAAAATGTATTTTAGCTTCTGTGTTGTGATGCTGAAAAGCAGAGGGAAAGCCAGCAGGAGGGAGAGGGACGTTGTTGTAGATGACTTTTTCCATATCCCTACCACAAGTCTTTCCTCTGTACTGTGCGCTCTAGCTGTTAGCTTCAGTTTAAGACAAGCAGGGTGTTAACAGAGTCCAAAAGAGGAAAACCTCATTTTCCCAGCAGTGTTCGCCTCCCAGAAGATGTCAGCATGGAGCCCAAGCTGCCTTTTTCTCCCAGGGCAAAAGTGTGGATGCCACCCATGCATCCAAAAGGCTCCCTGACTATTAAAACCAAATGTAAATGCCTGAGAAATAGTTTCCTCGTTTTTCCCTGCTGTCCCTGTGTGTTGCTGTGAGGCTGGGAGGTGTAACGCACGCCTGGAATGCTGTTTGGGTGAGCAGATGTTTGGCTGTGAGAGCAGCCAGAGATTGCTCTAAGCTGTTTTTCCATCTACAGAGCATTTCAGATCTGACTGCAGCCTGGAGAAGTAGCATGGTGATAGGTGAAGACCCTGATAAGATCTAGCCCGGAGGTAAACCATGGGATTGCGTTTTTCTTTTCGGAACAAACGTCTCCAGCCATCAGCCTTCTCCATAAGGGTCTTTTTTAAAGTGTTTTGCCTGCTTTATAAATATGCTGCAAATAAAGTGGTTCTGGTCATGGCGCTGAGTAAACAGTGACTCCTTGCCCCAAACACAAGTGGCTTCCCTCCTAGGTCTGCTGAAGTATCTAAGATGACAATCTCAGGTACGTTCGTGCATTTTTCAAATGGATGAAGAACCTTCTTTACAGCTGCGGCACTTGCAAAGAATTCTCCTACCTGCTCTTTCTGACTTGCGTGACACCGCGTACACTCCCTATTCCTCTGTGCCTCTTGCTTTGCTCTCTGTCAGGAAGATGAGGGATGGTTCACTCCACGGATGTGGCAGTTTAGATTAGTTTTATTTATAAAATGCCATAAACCCCTGAAGAGGGGATGCAATGCAAGTGTGTAAGCTGGTATAGCAAGCAGCTGATTTTCCTTATGAAACAGAAGCAGGAAGAGGTACAATGGCAAAGCAGAAGGTCG